ATTTAGCTGTTGTTCAGCAGTTATTTAGCTGTTGTTCAGCAGTTATTTAGCTGTTGTTCAGCAGTTATTTAGCTGTTGTTCAGCAGTTATTAACTGTCATTCATCAGTAAACACATTTATATTTCGACACTGAGGTCCTCACCTGCACGTAGTCCACACTGTCTCCTAGAGCTTTGAAGGCGGTGTACATCACCTCCCTCTTCCCGCCCCACTCCTGCATGATGCAGGAGAACCGACAGCCTTGAACGAGCCGGGCCACCTGACCCGTCTCCTCCATGTGTGCCGCGCTCCTCCTCCCGCCCCCGACTCCTCCCCCTCTGCCCCCGTCGCTGTGAAAGTTTCCCTTCCACACCATGCTGCCCGCCTGTTCGGCCCCGCCCATCACCTCCTGGAAAATGTTCATCATGTACAGGTCCTCAGGCCGGTTCCCGTCCACCACCAGCACCACTTTTAGACCCGGGAAGGAGATGCGGCGGACGCTGCGCAGGCACTTCCTCAGGTAGTCCGGGTCCTCCTGGTACGCAGCGATGCAGAGGGCCACAGAGCGCCGCAGGTGGCGAGGCCGGGCGGGACCCCTCATCCTCCGGTGCTCCAGGAAGGCGAAGAGGCTCTGCAGGAAGAGGTGCAGGGACAGGAAGGCTCCGTACAGGCCGAAGGACAGGTGGTGCTGCTCCGTGTGGATGAACTGATAACCTGCAGAGCAAACACAGAAACGTCACGCGTGTCCTTCTCGTGACCCGGCTCTGCGGCGCCAGCGCTGACCTGTGACGTAGGCCAGCAGGATGGTGAAGAGGACCACCGCAGCGAAAAGGGTGGTGACCACGATGTTCAGCGCATTCCTGCAGCGAGAGGGCATCTGGAGGAGGAGGACAAAAATAAAACAATGACTTCAGTTTGGTCCAAAAGAAATCCTGTTCAGTGAAGAAATGAGGTCATTTTTCTGCTGAGCTCTAAATGTTTGGAACATCTGAGCTGTGTTCAGATTATTGATTCACTGGATCAGTGCAGAAACCAGCAGCTCTCACTGGTGTTTAATATTCTTTACAGGGGTGTCACTAGGTTTTAATGACAAGGGGGGCTTAGCCCCAGGAGACGCAGAAAAGTTTTGTATATTATATATTTGTCTTGTGTGTGTGTGTGTGTGTGTGTGTGTGTGTGTGTGTGTGTGTGTGTGTGTGTGTGTGTGTGT